ATGCTGTGTTAAAGTCATCATCTTGATTTGCTTCCGTCTCTGGAAATACCTGCACACATTATGACAAGGTGAGTAGCAGTTTTAAAGTTTGGTTCTTATTGTAATTCTGTTTTGCAGTAAGTTAGCTTCCTGCCCTATTTTATCCTGTGTCAGCATCTCATTTATATCTTTCTCTGCTAAATAAAAATATACTAGTTAGTTGCAAAAGAACTCCTGCCTTAGCAAAGGGACTAATGTAGCACTTACAATCTCTGTGAGTTTATGTGTCAGAGACAGGAATGTAGTGATTTGGGTTATAGAGATAATCTATACAGCGTGCTGTTTTGTTATGCAGCCATTTGCTGATTCACAGCATCGACCTGCAAACCCTCACCTTTTTTCTGATAATGGCATACTGTCAATTTAGAAATTTTAGATTTTTTTTTTCACCTGCTGCAATAACAAGGCCTGAGACGGGGTGTAACTACATATAACCGTGAAATTCTCATGGTACCCTTTATTATTAATAAGATGGTACCCTTTATTATTAATAAGACTTATTTTTGTTTTATTTCTCTGAGCTGGGACAGCAGTGAGCTGCGCTTTAAAAGTGATACTCTAGTAACCTTTGAATGGCAATAAAATAACACTGCTTTTTTTCTTGATAATCTCTGTTTCCATTTAATTATTTTTTTTAAAGAAAATCAGTGTTGCCCCCAGGCTTTGTAAGCCAAACTTAAGAGGTACTTCCAAAGTATAAAACATTGAAATCAAGAGTGGGAAATATTTCCAAAGTTAGTTGCTTTGATATAAGCTGGTGTGAGGAATAGATGAAGGATGCTTTATAGTGTCGGCAAATTCCTCCCGTTTTTCCCCTTACAAACAGCGGTTTGCTTACAGTCGTTAGCAGAAAGCAAGCAAATAAGCCATGGATCTACAGAGAAGTCAAACAAGTATGATGCAGAGATAAGGGACTGAATGATAGGGAGTAAATCCCATGGCCTTATTTTCATTGACACTCAGACGTGTTAGAGAAATGAACCCACACCATACCGCTTTCAGTTCAAATAAATAAGCTTCATTTATCTGCTTTCCTGCTGCAGGCTCAGAAGAGGGGTGCTCATCTGGGGCAGCGGTTTTAGAGGAACCTGTGCCAACACAGGAACTCTGTCACAGATCTGTGTGCAATAAAGCAAAAGCTAAAGGAAATCTCAAGGGATGTGTAAGAGTTTCTATTAGCTTTTTATTACAGGAATATCCAAGAAGTACTGCTAGAATATCATAACTTGCTATGCTGTTTTGCATGTAGCAATGTGCATTGTCAAACAGTAATGTAGACCCTGTTGTGCAAAGTGCAGAAGCCAGTTCCTAAATCTGTGCAATCTAAGAATTAAAAGCACTTTGTTACATCCAGGCTTAAAAGCCTAGCATGTAGCATGATCAAGTCCAAAAATAGAAGTTCAATATTATTCCACTTAAGTATTGCTCTCATATCATGTTGTTCAAGGCTATATGCAAGTGAGGTGACCCTATTACAAAAGCCACAAAGAGCTCAGGTAAAGAATGTGAGATTTGTAGGGTTAAAACCATAGGCAGAATTTCTTTGGATTTTGGCCCAGATTTTTGCTAAAATGGCTGATGCTTGTATTGGCAAAACTTAAGTCCCAGCCTACACGAATGCCAGTACTGATGATAGTTCAGTCATGCATCTTGTAGAAATAAAACAGTCTTTAGTCAGTAGAATGTAATTTTCCTCATTTTTTTGTTCTACTGGTGAATATAAATTAAGCTTAGAAAATATGCTGCTGCTTATTTTCCATTTGTATTTCAGAAGTCAATGTATCATTTACTAAGTCACCAGGAAGTCTTCTGTGAATTGGGTAATTTGGTTGGCAAGATGCTTCGCTCCGCAATGTCTGGCTTCTGTGTTTTTTGTGAATTTAGGAATGGATGGCCCACCTCCTCTCATTTAACCTTTGAAAGCTCAAGTTAACTTTGACAGAATCATGTGAGTACAGCTGTTGGTTGAGGGCAAGCTTTTTTATCCCTCTGTATCTCACCAGTTTTGCTCTTTTCAGGCTTGTAGTTAGTTCAATTGCAAGGCCTTTTTTTGTTGAAGACCTTTGGCAGCTTTTTTCTTCAGGTCTTAGGCAGGAGGTCAATTGACTCTGCAGAATGCAATCATAGAAGGAAGCTTTGATGGCAGTTACGTAAGAAACTTGAATGATGAGCAGCATTGTCTTTCTGCCAAAAAAAAATTAAATATATCTATTTAAATATAAATATATTGGTTCCAAACAATAGAATTGCCCAGATTTCTTACATTCAGTGAAGCTTTTATTGACTTATACTTGGCAGCTGTTCAAATGTTCAAAACTGGGCAGTTTTCATTAGATAAATAGAAATTTGCCTAGGACAAGACTAAAATTGAGTTTAAGGATTAAAATTAATATCCCAAAGACTCTGATTAAACCGCCAGCTAACTCTGGGAGCATGTAAACTCCCTGAAGGCAGCTGTTTGTGACCTTTCCGTTCCTGGAGTGCCCAGGAGTCTACACCTAACGCGCATGGGTAGACTGTAACAGTTGATGGCCAGCCCGTGTTCTCCAAACAGTGGTGATGGTAGCAGTGGTTGTAACTAAGCCCACTACAAAGGACGTAAAAAGTTTTGAGGAAAGAGGAAGCATGACACATTAGCCAAGTAGTTTTGTGAAGTAGTCATTGGGTAAAACACAGAAGCGATCTTGAGATTAGGGTCTAGCTTGTGGAGTTCCTCCTTCGCTCAGTTACAACATTGTGGTCCTTCTTGTGCTCCCTGGCCGACTGATTTGGTAGTCCTCACTGCACGGTGGGGCAGTTCCAGTAGGAGAGGTGGAGCTGTGGTGTGCAGGATGCATGAGAAGTTGGCTGGAGACCTCTCTAATAGATGAGGAAGTGACAATGGGATCTCCCAGATCCCGAATGAATCTCTGACCAGATACTCATACCTCCATCTTCCCTGGCCATGATTCAAAAAGAAAGAAAGGTGGTCCTGCTCAGTTCTTTGGCAGAAAGGATGTGGAATTGGCTGCAGATGTGGGTCTTGAGTGATAGTCCCCAAAATCAGGATTGAGGCTGGAAGGAAGTAAAATTTTGTCCCTCCTTTCAGTGCTTTTCTAGGAACCAGATTAAAGTTGCTGTGCTCGCTCAGCCCCGATTTGCAGGGCTTCCTGCTCAGCTTTCCAGCTGTTTTGTATCTTCGATGTGAGGCATTTTTCCTCCAAGGGGAATTCCAGTGCTTTTCTCTAGGTTCAGGATTTCATCACAGGGTGCCGAGTGCAGGGAGGCTGCATGTTCCGGTAACTGCAGTCTTTGCTTGGGTCTGCTCTTCTTGGTTTTGCTTAGTCCAGTACCGAGTTGTTCAGACTAGAGAACTATTTTCCTTTGAAGTTCTCTTTTCTATCACCCTTTAAACAGTTACTTGCCTAAGAATCATTTACGTTTCCTACCTTGGTGTCTATTAAAAAGAAAATTAAATCATCTGTAGTATTAGAGATCCCTTACAGATGTGTGGTCTGCTCTGAAAGACTGGACCAAATGCTGGATGAATTTCTTTTCCCATGTACCCCCTGAAACTACCGAATTATGAAGGCACTGCACTTGCTAACATGAACTCTGAGATGCTGTTCGTTATGCTGGAATTTAACACCACATTCATCTGCCTTGATTTCTGCTGCTTGTCCTTCACACGTTCTGCATCATCTGAGGAAGGTTATTGATGTGGGCACATTTTTAATGGCATGAATCTCTGGAGCCGTCTCCGATGTCTGAGTGATTTGAGCTTCATTTAAATAATTGATGAGAAGCGTTAGTCAGAATGTATTGGTGATTCAGACTGCATTATTCAACAATATTTACTGAGAGTTATAGATTGGTCCCAATTTACTTCTTTTTCCAGGCTGCATTAAACTAGGCCTGGATGACATATGTGTCTATTAAAAAAAAACACAAAATCCTTGTTAACATATGTGAACATCTGTGAGCTTAAGGGCTTTATTTAACAAGTTGCAACTAAGCAATAGCAATTAATAATGTTTAGCAAGAAAAAGTGAGTATGAACGGGTCTCTTTCAGGTGAAAAGTGCTTCTTTTCTCTGTCTTGCATGTCATTCAGGAGTGGACCTGAACATCTTACTCACAATTCAGTGACTTTTCCTGCAGCTTTCCCTGTCCTGGTAGTTGGGAGGGTGGGGCGGGTGTGAGACTTCATGGCTGCCTCTTCGTTACCCACCCACCGCAAGCATCTTCTCTAATGGTTTGCAGCTTTTAATCTTTGACACGTAAAAACTCTTCTGGCTCCTAACAGCATTTTTAAAAAAAGTCTAGCCTAGGAGACTCTCCATGATTGATCAGGGTGACACTGGGTGTCTTGCATAATGTCCTTTTACTCTGTTTTCCCAGAGTAAAAATATTCCCAATTTCTTTTCTTGCACGTTCATTGAGGTGTATAAAGCTGTGGTTGGAAGTGCTGGAGAAGCACAGTGGGGTTTTACCAGGCTGTTGTCAGGAGGTGAAAGAGTGACCGAAGCAAGGCTAATAATACGAGAATTCCTTTGGCAGTCCTGCAGACACCTTGCTTCTTCAAACAGCATCATCCCGCTTCTGCCACGCTCATGTAGCCTCTCTTCCCTGGATCCTGCAGCAGGAGGTCGAGTGTGGCCCGCTGCTGCAGCGCGTACGTGTCCGTGTGTCCGTGAGCTTTCGCACCGTCCTTTGGAAACCACCTCTGGGAGCAATTGGGGAACTCACTGCCCCTTTTAGTTTCATGTCCCTTTTGGAAAGTACTTTAACGTATTATCACTTTCTTTTATCAGGCAACTGAATGTTCAGGTTTCTCCCTCTTTTTTTAATCGTGTGCAGTAACTATTCCACTGAAAATAATTCACCCCCTTTTTTTGTTGCCAGGATGCATTGAGATCGCAGCTGTGCATGAGTAATGAACAGGTACTTTTTCCTGACCCCTCTTTTCTATTTTTACTGCAGGAACTGTGGACATGGGTGGCAAACAGTCCACAGTCGGCGAAGTCTCCATAGTTCAGACACCTGTGACAGAAAGCATTCAGGATGCTTACAAAGCTGGAGACACCAGTAAGGCCCAGGAGTTGATTAAGTTGTCATGTGAGGAGACTGCACTGCAAGTGGAAAAGGTAGGGTTGGATTACAGCTCTTTCTCAAATTTTATTGGGAAAGCAAGCAAAATGCCAAGCTGCTGTCTCGCATTGTTTCTCACGCAGAAAATCCACTCAGTTATATATGTAATGCTGGTGCTGCAGTGTCCCAGACGTGGCTGGTGGTGTGGGGCACCTCAGGAACGTATGCTCAGGGACAGTATTTGCCCTTGAAAGCACCGATCGGAAAGATGAGACAGACCACAGGGAACAGCATACGTAGGAACGGGGGGCTGTGCGGGGGGGGTGCTGGTGCTGTGGTCACTAAAACAAGGAAATACATTTTTCCCGACAAAAAGGAAGCAGCTTATAGACTTAGCAGGAGATGTATTCCCCCATCAGTACAAAGATGGTTAATGGCCCCCGGGAAGATTTTGCTGTTGTGTTTGGAACTATATCCTCTGTGCCAGCTCCTGCACTGCTCTGCCTTCAGAGCCCTCATTTTGAGCCTGCTCTTTGCACAGAGCTTATCTTAGTGTTTTGGGAGAGTACCTGCATGTCAAGCCCAGGCATATTGGCCATCTCCAAAGTAGGAAATACTACACCTTGTAGCAAAGCTGTGCGAATGCTTTTTCTGTCCACGAAAAATGGATTTACACTCACCATTCTGTGCCTTGGGCACTTTTGTGGTAAAGCCACACAAAAAACTATAAAGTGAAAACCCAACAAATTAATATAATTAATGTATCAGCACCAATGATTATAATAGCTGATGGTGTTTATGACATTCTCAGTTAGCCACAGTGATAGTGGGTATGCATTTGCATGGTCACAAATAAATACTTAGCTCTAGAAATGCTTTCTTTCTCTGCCCACTCCCTTTACAGAGAGTTTATTTTGCTGTATTTTCTTCACCAGTGTCAGCTTTTAGGTATTGCAGCAGCATATGGAGATCTGCAGGCAGTGAGGTATTTACTGAAGGAAGCATTAGTGGTGTTACCAACAGAACCTAATGATGACAATGCAGCTGTCGTGGCTGCATATTTCGGACATAAGGATGTTGTGAAAGAGCTGCTGGATTCCTTGCATGGTAAGACTACTGGGTTGCCGCTGCCTTTCCTCAGGCTTTTCGGTAGCTGTGTGCTATAGCTTCAGGCAGACATTTATTTATTTTTTTCACATTCCTTGAAAGGGGAGGGACTTAGTCATGTGAAAATGCATGGAGGGATCTAATCGCTGCTGTGTTTGAAGAAAACTTCCCCCATGGGGGGAAAAACACATGCATAAAAATATTCCATGTTTGCAAATTGGAAGTGGAGGAAGATGCCATTTAGACAATTCATTCCCATCGGCCCTCACAGCTGGGTAACATCCCAGACCCCACAGAGAAATTAGGGGATTTTCAGGAAACAGCATCATCCCGCTCTGCTGATCCAGCAGACACAGTGGTGCTGGGAGTGAGAGTGCAGCATGACTGCCTGGCGAGTAACAGTTTGGGCGCGCAGCTGGCAGCATGCTCTGTGCTCTCTTCTTGGCGTTTGGATTTGACTTTCAGGGGAATTCCCTTATTTAGAATCATCATATTTTATGAGTCAGGGTCCGACAGTCCCGCGCAGCAGCCAGGGCGAATCGCTGTCTTGACCTCAGACACTGCAGTAACTGCAACAGCTAAGCTAGACCTCTGCAATATTCGACCTGAATATAGCTCTGGCTCCTCACTGGAGCAATATACTTGCCAGTGACCTCAATGAGAACGGGAAAAACCTGTTGGGAAACCTGCTTATTTGATGTTCTTAAACTGCTAGAGCACTAATAAGCAAAAGAAACATTCCAGTTTGGGGAATGCAATTAAAAAAGCCAGAAAGGAGGCTGACAATGCTGGTTTTGTAACCTAGTAGCAAATATTAAATTATATTAATATAATACTCTCAGTAATGAAAAGTGACTTAAGTAGTTTCTGGAAACTTAGCTCGGTTTAGAACTGACCAAATTCCCTTAAACCCTTGCTTCAGGGGGTCAGGGAAGGTGCTCTATACAAACAGCAGCTTTCAGAAGTTTTTATGCAGGACTTTCCATTTATTTCCCTGGGAAGTTACACAGAAACCAATCACAGAGTTTAGGAATAAATTGCATGAATTTGCAATTTGGCTAATGCACTGCAGTGATTCTCTCTGGCTGAATGTGAACTTCTTGTGGCTTACAGCTGAAGTGGAGCCCATTTTTTGCAGCATGAGGGTGAGTGATTTAGTCAAGTTGTTAAGAATGCAAAGGGCAACGTAATTTCCACATGGAGAAACTGCAAAAAACGCTGACATGCAAACTTAGGCTTGTGGATGTTTCTGTAAGGATTTCAAAGGGGGTGTGAATTTGTAAAGTAAACGGAGGTGATACTGTGAATCAGGGAAGATTTAAGGACTGCTTAATGCTAGCAGAAATAATCCTGTCATGGGCATTTACTTACATGCGTAGAATTATGCACACCTAGAGGAAAGCAGTGTTCTACAGGCAAAACATTGATTCTGCAAAAAAAGCAGTTTGGGGATGACTAAAACATTAGCAAATTCATGCAGAAATCAGAACATGGTATTTTCGTTTTTAGTCTTAAATGACATTTGTCTAACTTTACTATGAATTGATAGTAAGGAATTGACCCAAAATGAAACATTTCAAGGGGAAATGTATTTTTTTGTGGGAGACTTTAGTTTGCAGTGAAAACAAACTAAAGCAGTTATTTTGTGTTGTCTGAAACATTTATTTTTGTTTTATTCATCCAGTAGCATGAAAAGTCACCTGTTTTTCCCCATTCTTTTTATCCCCTCTCATGAACTCGGAAGAAGTGGCCTATCTTGGATGTTTGGTTCTAATGTCGGTTGGATCAGGCCTGTTGTGTCTGGATGCAATGACAGACCTGGTCATCCCTTGCCACCTCGGTTTGGGATTAGATGTTTGATTTTTCTGCTGGCAGCCTAGCAAGCATTCTTGAAACCTTCCACTGTTGCCAGCTTATGCATGGTTAGGTCAGGGACAGTCAAAAAAGTTCGTCCATTAGCTGGGTAGGTAATGAAGAACAGTTAAAGCTGAAAAGTTTGTCCCTGGCCAGCTTAGGGCTCTTCTGTAACACACTCTTGCAGTGCAGGCTGCTCCTTTGTCCTCAGGGGTTCACCCTATACCCTTTGCATATCCATTGTTTATGGATGACTCTTGAATGTCGGCGGCATCAACTAAGTCAAATGCCCTATCTTTTTGGTAGGTCCTAGTACTTGCCAACAACTCCTGAACTGGATGCTGGCCATAGCCTGCCAGCAGGGACATTTGGACGTAGTAAAACTCCTAATTCGTGCATACAGTGCTGACCCAGAGAGCTGTGCAGTCAGGAGGAATGAGTTTCCAGTTCTTATACGGTTGCCCCTGTACGCTGCTATAAAGGCAGGTATGTATTTGCATGCTTCAAAACTTTGCCCCTTTTCTGCAATGTCTTTTAACGAATGGGCTCAGCTGTCCCCATCTAGGAAGGTACCGCTGTGAACTGGCTTGCCTGGAGTTGTTCTGGATTTCAAGTGGGATAAATTAAAATTAAATTGGTTCTGAATCTTTTGACTTGGCCAAATTTAAGTCAGGGCCTTCCTAAGTTATATTACTGTAAATGCTGAGAGGCTGAACTTTCCTCTTTAAACTCCTAGGGAGAAGACTCTTCAAAAACAGAAACCTTGCAAGTAAAAGCATTATTGTTGTGGACAGTCTGGCACACATGCTTGATTTAGGCTGAATAATTTATACTTCAAAGCAGAGCTGTATGTATAGTTTAATAAGACAGGGGAAAAAAAGAGAAAAAAGAAGGAGCCTGGGCCAGTGCCTTTACATAGTGTCTTTGCTGTCTCAGTTTGACCAAACTAAATCCTGTCACTGGAGGAAATGGTCTTTATACAGTTCAGTTCCCTTTTTGCATAGCCCTATAGTTTTTTTTCGGAAGTTGTTATTTCCCAGGATTTCTGTTGAGCTCCTTGTTGGTTCATCTACATGAGAAGAAGAGAACAGACAATCTGTCTTTTCTCTAAAGGGAATGAAGATGTAGCTGTGTTTTTATTACGGAATGGAGCTTTCTTTTGTTCCTACATCCTCATGGACAGTCCTGAATCCAGCAAACACCTTCTGAGGAAGTATTTCATTGAGACAAGCCCACTACCAGGTAGTGCTCCAGCAAAAACAGTAAGTAGCCATTTATCTGTCTGAACAGGTGTCCTTGTAAATGAGAATCATATATATATATTTGCTCTCTACAACTGCCTGAAAGGGGATTGTGGTGAGGTGGGTGTTGGTCTCTTCTCCCAAATAACTAGTGACAGAATGAGAGGAAATGGCCTTAAGTTGCACCAGGGGAGGTTTAGATTGGATATTAGGAAAAATTTCTTTCCTGGGAGAGTGGCCAAACATTGGAACAGGCTGCCCAGGGAGGTGGTGGAGTCACCATCACTGGAAGTGTTCAAAAAAACGTGTGGACATGGCACTTCAGGACATGGTTTAGCGGGCATAATGGTGTTGGGTTGATGGTTGGTCGTGATGATCTTAAAGGTCTTTTCCAACCTTAATGATTCTGTGAATAACTGATACTAGTCTTTGCATAACATGTGGCTGGTTATTCTTCTTCTCAACTAAGAGCCTTGTGGTTTGCTACCCATTTAGAGAACAAGCTGTGAAATTGCAAGGTGTAAAGCGTTAGGCCTTTAAATGGCATCATTGTGCAAGACGCTGTGTGCAGCTTCCGCTTGGCAATTTTAACATCAGCGTGTGAACCAGGCATACGCTGCGGAAAGGAAACATTGACTTTGTGCTCAAAGTCTTCCGGACAAGTAAGCAATGCCACAGGCTTCCTCTGTGACCCTAGGATAATCTCTTCATTTAGGTTTCTATTGTGCATTCTGGTTGCAAGGTAATGCCACAAGCTCTGTGCTGGCCACGAGTGTTAGCATGGCACCAACCTAAGCATGTAAACACGTCTCTTTCATACAGCATGGAGGAATAGGCTCTTGTGGCTTTTTTTTAACATGGAGCATGGGTAGAGCAAGCTGCTATCTGCTCAAAATATAGTCTACCCTACTTCAGTTCCTCGTCAGCAAAGAATGGCTGATAGCCTTTACTGCTACTTGCTTAGGACAGATCTGGCGTTCTAGAGCAGCATGGACATTATTGTGGGCGATCAGATCATACTAGTTGAGCTGTTCTTGCCCCACAGAGATGGTTTTTGATGGGACACAGAGGCCAACAAAAAACAACTGAAGCCTTTTTAGGTTGGCAAGAACCTTTTCACTACTTAGCCACTGACAGCCTTTTGACAGTTTTGGTAATCCATTTGCATCTCTATTTCTTCTTCTGTAAAATTGAGAGATTTAAACTCCTTATATCTCACAGCTGTTGGAAAGCTTAACACATGGTGATGATGCTTTGAGATCTACAGATGAGTGGCATTGTTTTCATGCAGGGTATTATTACATTTCATGATTATCACATATCTTCATATAACTAGGCTATATTCTTCATTCTCTTAATCTCTATTATCCAAGTCTCCTTTATTCAGAACTGAAAAATGTCTCACAGCATACACTGTTACTGCTTTACAGGGAAGCATGTAGTATTCTGTATCATTTCTACTGTTATCCAGCAATTTATTTATCAGGCATTTTTCGGTTTTTCCCTCAGTATGTAGATTAGCTAACGCTGAATAGGAGCCTCAGAGCCCTAAGCTTTCAATAGTTACAGTTTTCATCAGGTCATAAAAATTTTGCAGTGAATAATTATGAGGGAAATTTTTCGATCAAGGCTCTGTCTGCGTGAACCCCATCGCCAGCTGAGTATCTGTTTGCTCAGCTCGTAACATTGTGGGGTGTTGATTCTGCTTTGGTGTGAAGTAAAAATAAGCAGAGAGGTTTTCACAGTGTTAGGAACTTCTCCATTCTCTGTTTTTCTGCCAAAACCCTGGCTTGCTGGATTCCCGACGATACTGAGAATGTTAGGGACTACAGTCCGCAAATGTGAGGTTGACTTCACTAGGTTCAATCAGCAGATTTAGAGCCTTCTTAGGGATTCTTAGTTTTGTTGACAGGTAAACAAAAGGAAGCTAAATCCTACGTGTTTCTGGATAAGAGTTGATAAAACTACATGCCTTTTAGAAAGAAAAAAATCCAACTAACTGGATAATTCAGCTTGAATAAACTTGGAATAAATGTTTGAATCACAGGGAAGAGGTCTGTTTTCCATGTGAACTTGCTGGCAATATTTAACTTCGCTGCTGTAAAAATGACTCAGCTTTGCTGTTGTCACACCCTGAGTGAAGAAGAGAGCAGTCTTAAAACATCAGCTAATTGCCAGAGGGCCTGGTTTAAAAAAAAAGAAAAAAACACACAAAAAAAACCAGACCCAGAAACTTGACCTTGATTCTTCTAGTAGCTGTTTATTTTTAATATGTTTGCTTATTTAATGCTTTCTCTTTGAATTCCTTTTGGCAGACTGGGCCAAATTCAGGAAGATTTGTCCTACTTTGCCTACAGAGCTCAGGTCACTGGGAAGTGATAGTCACACACCCTGATAAGTTTTTAAAACACGACTTCATGGCAGCTGCAAACAAGCTGCCTCAGTGATTTCTTCATCTATCTCAAGGTTCATGAATATAAGTCTTCTTGTATAAGTGCTGTGATGCTTTTTGCACTGGGAGGAAGCAAAAAAGGATTGTGCAGAGACTGTGATGTGTATGGCAGCCAGCTGGATGTCAAAAAGTCTCTCTTCTTGGACAGGGCAGACTAAGCACTGATCATTTCAGAATAAGCCCAGAACTTCAAAAGGGTTTGACCCATCTGTGCTCTCTTTAAGTGAAAACACTGCACAGTTGACCTCCAATTGATTTCATAGTAGTCAATGCTACCAGCTATGCATAAAATGTGGTTGGAGAACTCTGTTTAGCTGCCACACCTTCCAGGCAGCTATTGAACTGTGCATAGTGCTGCCCTTTCTGAGGCAAGAGTAGTTACATCTCATTTTTCTAGTATCTGTTTCTCCATTTTTTTTTTATAAATTTATCCCCACAGTAAAACAATGTCTTGCTAAAGAGAGGAAGTGCTCCATTTTTACAGGAACAGGTAACAAATGCCAGAAAGACCCCCTGCAGTAAAGTGGCTGGGCACAGGTTCCAGACTTCGATAGGTGTAATCAGCATGGAGATACCTGTAACTGTCCAGTATGTGCAGTCTGAGATATATTTTTTTTTTTACCATTACAGACCAGGAAAGAGCTTAAACTGCTGCGTTTTCCCTAGGAAATGTTTTGCCAAGAATTTTATACACAAGCATAGGAATGTATGGATATGTGTGTGATCATGCTCTGATTTCTTTATCCACTGCATGGCTAATCTCAGTTACATCACCATCGGTAAAGAAATCTGCCGTGGTTCCACTCAAGATTCATAGCAGCATTGTTGATGGAGGAATTAGATCACCGTCCTCAGAATATCCTGTCCACGGCAAGAGCAAGGTTCTTGCCCGGGTATATCATGTCAGTTAGGAGGAATGCACAACAGCCTTTTTTAATCACCTTGCCAAAAGGTCTCAAATCTAAGTAAGTATTTTTTGTCTTTGTAGTTCATCGTTTGCCCAAGAGCAGTGGGGGTTCTTGCTTCTGCACAATTTCCAGTCTCTTGCCTTCCCTAGTGCATGCCCTGACATCACTGCAGTAGATTTCCATTTAGTTTTCAGGACTCATACTGAGAAATTCTTTCCTTGTCAGGAGAGGGGTGTCTGCAGAGGTTTTCCTTGCCCTTCTGAAGAGCAGTAAGCCACCCAGAGTCAGGCTGTGCCTGGGAGCTGACAGCCGCTGAACATTGTCCCTCTCGTTTAAGCACAGAGCTCAGCAGCCGGTGCCAAATGGAGAAGGGTTGAACTGATCACTGGGCTTGCAAATTCAGCATCACAGACCTTTGGCATCAAAGAAACAGGCTTCTCTGGGAAGATAGTGGAGATGATTAAGTATGAGTTGGGGAGGAAATCCCCTTTCTTCATGACACTGCTGTCGGGCTTTCTTTCACTTAATTACGTTTTCACCGCAGAGCGCTGAGCCAAGTAAATCTCTAATGTAACTCCACTGAGGTTACTAGCACCAAGGTGAATTTGGTCCACTATCCCTATGTCAGACGAAGGGGCTTGGCTGATCCTCCAGTTTGCAGCAGTCAGGCAGAAGAGACCCTGTCAGTCCTGGGCTCTGGGAGGAGGACTGAGTGCAAGTAGATTCAAAAAGCTGCCTGGGAGATGGGGATGCCTATCCTGCAGCATTCACAGCAGGTGTTGGATTTCGTGATCTGATCTGTGGTTTTAGAGGTCACTATCTGAATTCTGCAGGTATCTTTTTATCACATTAAATACCCTGAGGTCACAGCTCTGCATTTTTGAGGTAAATGATCCACAGCAATCTAAATGCAAAATAGAGATATCAGTCTGAAATGAGAAGCAGCAGAGATGCATGGTCCTGTTTGCACCCGCTAAAAGCAGGGTATAGATCTTATTACTGCATTCGTTGGTGTACTCAAGGACAAGTACTCTTTGGTACTGAAATAAGAGCCTGGGCCCACTGTAAAGAGCATCATCTTGAAACAGAGCAGGAACTGAGGGAGGGGATAAGCACCATCAGTTCTTTATTCTGTTGGGTTTTTTGTTTCGGTTTGTTTTTTTAGCTTTGTTGAGAGCAGTTTGTTTAAGCAGGAAGAGAAAAGGGGGAGTAGGAGTCTAGTGCATTTCTATTGCTGGCTCCCCTGGGAGAAAGGGAAATGTTACTATCACAGAATAGTTTGGGTGGGAAGGGACCTTTCAAGCTCATCTAGTCCAATCCCCTGCAATGAACAGGGACATCCTCAACCAGACCAAGTTGCTCCGAGCCCCGTCCAACCTGACCTGGAATGTTTCCAGGGATGGGGCATCCACCACCTCTCTGGGCAACCTGGGCCAGGGTTTCACCACCCTCATTGTGAAAAATTTCTTCCTTAGGTCTAGCCTGGATCTACCCTCTTTCAGTTTAAAATCATCACCTCTTGTCCTATCGCAACAGGCCCTGCTAAAAAGTTTGTCCCCATCTTCCTTAGAAGCCCCCTTTTGTTACACCTTTCTCTTCTAGCCTGACGAGGGCCACTCCTATTAAAAATCTACATTAAGCATGTGTAGTTGGGGATCAGGCCCTTTCTTAACTCTTTTCTAAACCAGGGGGGTTGTGGTACGTGATTTTACTAACACAGATTTTATCCATCACTGTTAGGGATGAGGGTGATGGGGTTTTTTTCTGTATGAGCAGAAGTCATGGTGTATATTTAATTGTCCTGGCATAAAAGAGCTTTTGCTGGCATCACTATAAACCACAATATGGTATAAACAACATCAGTAAGAGAATTTCATTGCTGATCAAGCTGTATTTCTATCAGGAACAAATTTAGCTAATCTAGGATGGAGCTTACAGCGATGCTGCCCTCCTCCTCTCCCCAGCCATGTACTCTTGCATCAGTACCATTGTAAGCCAGTTTTTGGTGACCTCGGCTGGAAGCTAAGCCAGCTGAAAATTCTCTATTCGAAATAAAGAGTAATAATATTGTAAGACATGGTAGTGCCCTGAATGTGTATGTAAGTAGCCAGACAGATATCAATACTACTTGAGGGTTTTGTTTGTGGTGTAGAGCTGGTGTCCTGCATTACCCAGATTTAGGGATCTGTTATGGGCTCTTGGAGCAATCCAAGGAACCAGAAAAAACTAGTCAAATGTCTCAGCACAAATGCACTCTTTC